GCCTTTTGAAGTCAACCAGCTAATTAATTAAAAATACTCAATTAATCTCATTAAACTAATTAACAATTGACTTTTTTTTCCTGTTTCCCGCCTAGTGTTTGGAGCCTACATAGGAACCCCGACTAAACTAGGATCGCGCATTGGATCACCCATTTTGGGGTAACGCTGCCATTAGGATTGTTTCCACACCCAGAGCTCAAATTCGAAACCTCTGATTAATTGTAAATCAATTGACTTAAACATTAACAATTAAGTTTGTCCCAACCTAGCGTGCACCACTTACCACTGTAGAAATTAAATCAGGGTGATTGATGAAACATATAGGTGCCTTATAATATAATCTTCTTCCTTAATTTAATAATCATAAATATATCCAACAATAATAATTACGAGGATGCATGCATGCTGAATCACAATGAAAAGAATAATTAAACAAATTAATCTAATTAACCTCCTTACTTAAGAGGTCTACAAGCCAATAGAGTAAACGAGTAAACATAATCCTAAGTTTTACTCATGATGACACCATTTTGTCATCTTTTTGAAGACTCAAAACTTGTTTAATTTTTAATTCTTTGGAGACAATAAAACACACCAATTGATTTCAAAGACATAGTTAGCTTGCCACTAATATATTCACTTATATCGGCATCAACCCTACTTATAATTAATTAAGATAACACTAGCTAATTAAAAGTTACTATTGTGTATGGTATGGAGGAAAATGTTAGGAAAATAAGTTCATGAGGAAAATGACTTTTCTAATGGAAGTAGGGAAAACACGCACCCACCCAATCCCCCCAACCCTCCCGTTGACCATCCTACCCCACGCAACCCCGGAACTACCACTCTCTATTTCATATTATCTTCATAATATTTTGCTAGATGACATATATATACCTCAAACACTAGAAAACAAGTAAGAAACCCATCTGCTTTACAAGAAAAAATCATTTTACATAAAACATATATATTCATAAATTCTACCAAACACTTGTGTCGTTTTGGTTCGGCCAAATTTTCAGTATAAAACTTACTTCTTACATAAATGTTAACATGGATGTATATAATATAAAATTGGACTAAGATTATGTGTGTGTTTGATTCGAAAGGAAAAATATTTTTTTTAAATATTTTAATTAATTAGATATAAAGAAAATTCGTACCAAACAAACCCAATTAATGATCACATTAGACAAAAAGTTTATTAATTTTTATATATTTATTTTATTATATTGATAAAAGGAGGAGGTGGGTCCGAAATGATAAAGTCATGTTATACGTTTAAAGAGCAAGGAAATATAGAAAGCATATTCCTTCATTCTTTGGCTGTATATGTTTACACGTTCATCACATTTTAATTCAACATAAATAGTCATAATATATGATTTATATAATATTGATTAGAAAATAAATAAATAATAAATTTCATCGATTAATTGCGTAAAATCTAATAAATCAAAGAGGTGTAAATTGTAATGAATGATTGATTACGAAAAAATTAATGGCATTGGTCTCTTGCCTAGTCAAGTATCAACTATCAAAATATATATTTATGTCCCCTGACCCCTACCAAGCAAGACTTTTTATTTTTATAAACGGAAAGCGAAACAATATGCTCTTTCTAATTCATATTAAGTAAGTCATTGGATTATGACATATTAAAACTATTTAAGGATATAAATTAAAAATATTATTTTTTACTATTTTTCTTTTGATTGTTCTCAAACTATTCTCTTTAAAAAATGTTAAGTAATTGAAAATCTTATTAAATGAAGGATAGATATAAAAAAAAAAACAATCCAATTATTCTTTTTGAATTTCGAATTATATAAAAACTCAATACTCTTTTTAGCTCAATTTATGTGACATTTTTCATTTTTTAAGAATCAAACGGTTCAAGTTTGATCAGAAAGTTGTGCGTGGAATCTTTAATTTTTTTAACGAAATTTATATATTTTTAAACTACGTAAAAAATATTATAAGTCACAATAATTAACAATTTAAAAGATATATAAAAGATTTCTGAACAAAGAAATTTGAAAAGTATCATATAAATTGAAACAAAGAAAGAAGAATTAAGGGGCAATTATAGTAACTATTTATATTTATTTTATATCACATGGGTTAAGAGTACGTACCTCCATTTCAAATATATAGCTCGATATATTTTTTTAATATATGTTTCTTCTTTATAATTATTTGCACCTCTTTCTGGTCTATGTTAAATGAATTATTGAGATTTTTTCATAATATAAATTAAGTGAATTATTTAAAGTTGAAGTGAATTGTTGAATTTATATATATATTCACTTCATTTAATTGGGTTTTTTAATTACCTTTTTTTTTTAAGAAAATAGTTTGGAAATAATTAATATGGTAATAATAGAAAGTAACAATTTTTAATGTTAAGTGTGTCATATCTTAATAATAGATAATTCACTTAATATGAAGTAGAAAGAATATTATATTTTTCACCTAATTCAAAAAAATTGACAGCTTTCTAAATTTTATAAAAATGCAACTTTTTTTTCTTTATCTTATTTGATGAATAGATAGGAAGATGGAAAAAGACTATGACTGTGCTTAGCATTATGAAAGCCCACATGTCTGATCGACACGTCATTTTCTATCCATTGATTTTTATTAAAATTGAGATAATACCTCTAATATAATTTTTTATAATCATACAAACATTTAGCTTTTTTTATTTTATTTTAAATTACAAGTTTCAATAAAATTACAAATAAATATTACTCTATGATTTTCGTAAAATTATAATTTTCAAAACTCTTTCATGTTTTCATTTCTTAAGCTACGTACTTATTCAAACTTTGCACTACAACAAATAAAAGATTTCTGCGGCAATTATAATATAATTATTGTTATATTATATTTAACGATAATAATGTAATATGATTATTTATAATCAACATTCTGGATAAAATGACATTAACTCAATTACTACTAAATATGTTTATGACAGTATATTTTTTTTTATTACCACTAGATATCTCTTTTTACTTATTACGACATGCATAATAAAAATCGAGGGAGTAATGTATTTATGTTTGATACCATTTTAGTTGTTTTTAAAAATAAAATTTAGCATATTAATTACGATGTTTGATTATTATTTTACAATCTCACATAACAAAAATATGTTTAAATTATGAAAATCATTTATATATTATTATACTAAATAAAAAATGAAATAACCAAATCTCACGTAACTCTAACTAACAATCAAAGGACTTATTAACTTATAATAACTTATATATGTGGTTTCAATTTATTCATCATGAGCCATAACATGCAAGGTCAATCAATCTTAAATGGGCACCAAATAAATGTAATTAAATACCACATGTATATAAAGTGAATGAACTTATATGAGTGGTTGCTCCATAGATTTTAATAGTCTTGTCAATTCCCAATCAAGGCAAGAAATTAAACTTGTTACTAAATGGAAAAGGGTTTGGACTATTGTGCAAATAAAAACATCGAATGGTGCTAGTATAGGACCATTTCACATGTATTTTGTCACACATTTCCACTTGAACCAAAGTTCTTTTGTGTAGTTATTATGTAATCTCGTACGAGTATATTGAATAGATATATTGTATATACTAAGTAAGAGTCTTATTATTTCTTCTTCTTTTAGGGGCATCACTCTTTTGCCCTTCAAATATAGAGAAATTTATAATATTTTTCAAAATTTTAATTTGGAAGAAGACATAATATTCCTAAATAGATGGAATAAGTCGTATATCGTTTGATTATTCTATATGAACGTTAGATTTTGTTTGGCCAATAGGTTAAAATCAGTTTATTTTGAAAAGTGATTCTTATTATATATATATATATATATATTTTATTTTATTTTTAAAAAGTGTTCTGAAAGAATAACAATTTATGTTTTAGTTTAATATTTAAGAAGTATTTATGTTAGTAGTTTGCGAAGTGTTTTAAATGTCATATTACGAGAGAAGAAGCTAATACAAATTAATGCGGATGCGGTGAAGATGTTTTTTTTTTATATATATAGGTAATCTTGATTTAAGAAAAACACTTCTTGGATAAACTACTCTTTCTTTAACAAATTCCGAAAATACTTTTTGTTACTATTCAAATAGATTTATTTTTTTATTAAAAATTTCATCAAACACCTTTATTTCTAAAATATTACTCCTAGTACTTTTGACAATATGAAAGCTTGATCAAATGCGCTATTAGTAAAAGTGTAACACTTGCATCCAAAATTTTCAAAAGTATACAAGATCAATTAATCATATGCAGGATAAGCCAGTGAATTTGAACAATTCCTCCTCTTTTCCTTTTAGATTAGTAAGGATAGAAGGATTAACTTGGATGAAATCACACTTCACATAATCTTTAGCGATACTTAATTAACGTCAATCGCCTAATTATCGCTAAATTGTGTCTTTTAACAGTAATTAACACTCTTTGTAAATTTCTCTAAAGTCTATAACGACATTGGATCCAATAATAATTAATTAATACGATTAGAAGCTTTAGTACACTTTGTTAATGTGCATATTTACGGCCGTTAAAAGTTGTTTTTATTATAGTATCACCTAAATGGGTTGTGGTAAGCTAGTTATGATCACTCTATCCTTAATTAGAGATTTCGAGTTCAAGCAACTAGAAATGAAAAAAATTATATTTGAAGCATCATCTTTAGAATTAAGCCCTGCAATGCGCGATCTGTAGTCCAATGCGGATAGCCTATGCAAATTACCTTGATAAAATCACGAAAGGGCAATCAAATCATGGAAAAAAGAAAGTACCCCACTTTTGTGGTGAGCTTAAAATTGTGTTGATCAGGTACACAATTATTATAAGCTTCACTAACTCAAATAAACACCACCTAATTATTACACACTCTTCTTGAGAATTCCCCACACACAAAAAAAAATCTTTACTTAAAAGAGTCAAAAAGCTAGCAATCTCTACTTGATAAAGGAGGGGCCTCTCCATTTGTCTTCCACTTCTCTCTGCCTTTCGCTTTGTAACCAAAATTCAACAGAAATGTCTAAACAAACATACAGAATCTGTTGTTTCCAAAGGAAATTCAAGTTGAAAGAAGCTGAAGCACCTGATGAGATCAAAGACTTGTTTGAAAGATTTTCAGAAAATGGCATCATGACAGCAGAACATTTATGCAAATTCTTGAAAGATGTGCAAGGTGAAGAAAATGTTACAAAAGAAGAAGCTGAAACTGTGATGGAATCTGCACTCAAACTTGTTCATGAACATCTTAATATTGTTTTCCATAGAAAAGGTCTCAATCTTGAAGGATTTTTTCGATATCTCTTCAGTGATCTTAATGTTTCTATCTCCACAGACAAAAAGGTACTCTTTAACTTGTTGTTTCTCAGGATATATTTGTGTTGCAGAAATCTCAAAGACATTTTATATTAGTTGTTGTTCTCTTTGGTATCAAGCCAAAAAACAGACTTTGATTTGTTGAGTACTAATAGTGCTATATCATATAATATAAAACATACTGCAGATTAAAAGGCCTCTTATTAAAATTTGACTTTACCTCACCGACTTTCATATAGATATGAAAGTTGCACTTGCTGTTTCCTATCTTGTAGAAACTGTTTCAGAGCAGTACAAAAAAGAGTAGCAAATCTAGCAATTGGTTATTGGGAAGAGATTGTGATCTTTCTATTATTCTTGTAATTTTGTCTTACTAAGATGTTCATAAATAATTCTAGTTTTTTTTTTTGTTGCATTTCAGGTTCACCATGACATGACTGCTCCATTGTCTCACTATTTCATTTACACCAGTCACAATACCTATCTCACTGGGAATCAACTCAATAGTGATTGCAGCGACGTGCCTATAATCAAGGCACTCCAACAAGGCGTACGAGTGATTGAATTAGACATGTGGCCAAATTCATCGAAAGACAATGTGGATATCCTTCACGGAGGGTATATAATGCTATACTTTCCTCTCTCATAGTGCAAACTTAGAGTTAGAGTGTACATTAGTTTCTCATATGCTTAAGGAGTGTTCATTGTTCAATAATATGTTAAAAGAAGAAGGGTTGTTAGAGGAGATAGTCGCACAAATTCCATTGTCGGAAATAATCTCCACGTGCTTAGATCTGCACGTGAAGGGGTGTGTTGACGATATAATTAAGTATATACAAGTATGCTCTTTCTGACTGCTTAAACGTTTAGATGAGATGATCATATAATTCAGCAGGTTGCAGTTGAACAGTACCTAAGGAATAGCCTTAACGCATTTTTTCTCTTTCTGACTCCATCTATTATCGTCACATTTTGAAAATGCAGGACACTAACACCTCCGGTGGAACTTATCCAATGTTTGAAATCAATCAAGGAACATGCATTTGTGGCATCTGAATATCCTGTAATTATAACTCTAGAAGACCACCTCACCCCTGATCTTCAGGCTAAAGCAGCTGAGGTAAGCATATTCCTACTATCGAGCATTGGAAACATGTCTCATGATTCGATGTTTTGTTGTGTGACTAACCGTGATTAAGTTCATCTCTAGATGGTCACTCAAGTATTTGGAGATATACTGTTCACCTGTGGGGCAGAATGCTTGTCAGAATTCCCGTCTCCAGAATCTTTGAAGGGGCGGATTATCATCTCAACTAAACCGCCAAAAGAATATCTTGAAAGTAAGAAACCAAGTGAGAAAGATGATGGTTCTCAGAAGGGGAAGAAATCATCAGAGGAGAAAGCATGGGGAGCAGAAATTTCTGATCTTTCACAAAAAATGATAGCTTATTCTGAGGTGATCATCATAAGAGTTATTTTTGTATAAAAATCGTAAGTAAAGAAAATTGAGCCCTTGGTAGACTTGCCTGTTTTAGACTAAAATTAGACGACTTTGCAGAATAAAGACAATGGAGAATGTCAAGACGATGAAGCTGATTCTCATCATGAGAACCCCAATATACAGCAGAATATAGCTCCTGAGTATAAACACTTGATTGCTATCCAAGCAGGAAAATCAAAAGGTCCAACAAGTGAGTGGCTAACCGTGGATCCTATTAAGGTGAAACGTATTAGCTTAAATGAAGAAAAGCTCATAAATGTTGCCCTCAATCATGGGAAAGATTTAATCAGGTAAACGCAAAATCACAATGCGATCTGTTCTTTTGTCAACGTTATAATATGCTATGCTTTTGTATAAAAAGGCAATATCAAACTACAGGTTAAGTATAATCAATATTTCAGAATGTTGGTGTCCTGATTCTGTTTTACTTTTGAAAGTTTGGTTGGACCAGAAATGGCTGAAGCCTAACTGTGCATTGTTGTTGTTTGTTTCAAGAAATGATACATTGTTTTCCTTTCTTGGAGCTGACTTATTTGTCTTTCAACATCTTGCACTGTCGAATTTCTCTGTAAAGGTTTACTCAGAGAAATTTGCTGAGAGTATATCCAAAAGGTATGCGAGTCGACTCTTCCAATTACAATCCACTAATGGGATGGATGCATGGAGCTCAGATGGTTGCATTCAACATGCAGGTTCCAACAAATTTCTTTGCTCTTTTGTTCTCAATAGAGAATTCAAATTTTAGTGCTGCTAGTTTGTATTTTTGTGCCTGTACATTCCATTTAAAAAAGGCAAGTAAACGCTCCAACTTTGTGTATGCACATCTAAACACCTCAACTCATCTCTACCGTGTCAGTTGAACACTCTAACTTACAAAATGATCATCTACACACGTCCAAAATTTATGTCACATCAGCGTCAGGTATCCACGAGACACAATGGAGATGAGTTGGAGTGTTTGGTTGCCAGTTGAGACCAGGTTGAGGTGTCTAGATATGCATGCTCAAAGTTGAAGTGCTTACTTGTCAGCGTCAGGTATCATTTCTAATGTATAATGCAATTGTCATCTTGCACCAGGGACATGGAAGGCCTTTCTGGTTAATGCAAGGGATGTTCAGAGCAAATGGTGGCTGTGGTTATGTCAAGAAACCAGAGCTTCTCTTGAAGACTGATGCAAATAATGAGGTCCATGATCCTAAAAGGCTTTTATCAGTGAAAACTACACTGAAGGTGAATAGATCAAATTATATGAGATACGTGAATTCTCCGCACTTATAAAATATGTAATAAAATTTTGCAATGTTTTATTTTCAGGTGAAAGTATACATGGGAAAAGGCTGGCATTTGGACTTCAAACGTACACATTTTGATGCATATTCTCCACCAGACTTCTACGTCAAGGTTGTCCTAATATATATACATATGATTTTAAGTTTAAGATGGATTTGTTTCATTTTTCAAAATTCTGTTTCCGTGTAATGCAGATTGGTATTGCTGGAGTCGCTGCAGATTCAACAGTTAAGAAAACCAAGGCAATAGAGGACAACTGGATACCGATATGGAATGATGAATTTGAGTTCCCATTGACAGTTCCAGAGCTAGCATTGCTTCGCGTAGAAGTTCACGAATATGATATGTCAGAGATCGATGATTTTGGTGGACAAACTTGCATTCCTGTTTCAGAACTTAGAACAGGAATTCGAGCTGTGCCTATTTACAATGAAAAAGGAGAGAAATATCCTTCTGTTAAGCTACTTATGCGCTTTGAATTTGTAATATAATGTTACATGTATAGACTAGAAAACTGAACCTTCCATCGTAAACTCAGAATATGTACTGGAATTTAAATTACTTATCAACACAGACTATATCCTAAAGTTGTTCTTAAAGTGGCACAGTTTCAACTGCTTTGTCCGAAATCAGAACTATTCTTGTTATGAACGAGTGAGGCTTGTTTAGTTGGTGCTAGACGCCTCCATTTCCAAAGATTGATTGGGGCTTTGAGTCCCACGAGATATGTGGAGAATCACTGATGATCTCCCCAGGATAGAAGATAAAAGCTATGAGGCTCGGACTCTTATAATATGTTGTCACATACGTGTCAGGTCCTCTAGAAATGCACTTCTTTTGGAGGATCTGATACTCACCAGGCGGTACTTTCGGAGAGTTTGAGCATCATAGGATAAAAAACCACTCTAGGTATGAACTTGAAATTACACAACTTTTGCTTTTCTTGAGCAGGCATTACTTAATGCTCCATCCGTTTCACTTTGTCTATCTTACTTTTCGTTTTAATCCATTTCAAAAAGAACGTCTCTTTCTCTTTTGGCAACTCTTTAATTCCAACTTTCTACATGACATGTTTCAGAAAACAAAATTCAAGGTCATATTAATACATTCTACATATCTTTAATTTAAAACCACATAATACGAAAATCTTCCTTAATTTCTTAAACTCTGTGTCAAGTCAAAACCAGACAAACAAATTGAAACGGATTGAGTACGTAGTTACTTCAGGAAATGTATAAATGGATTGGGAGCACCAAACAATCTTGTGTTATTAAACAAAAGGAAGAAACACTTCAATTCACTTTAGCCTAAACCTTCAACTGGTGAATCAATTTACAATATGAGCTAAAGATAACAACACCATCATGGACAATTCTATCAACTTTCCTTCCCCACAGCTTGTAGTAGTATAAGCAATTGAAGGAAGTAATATGACACGCCTCCTATAGTGGCATATTGTAACTTTTCAGTCCCTTCTACTGCTGGAAAATCTCTATCTGCAGCGCGGTTAAATCCACCCGCTAACCATGCCAAATTCCTGTATTCTCCTTCATGTAACTTTGAAATAGCCATCAAAGACCTACAAATACACATTGGCAGAACATGTACCGTTCTATAGTTGAAACAATGGAGATATACCAACATTATATTGAAAATAAGCACGGAGTTCCAAGTTTCACAGATGAAACTCGGAAAATAAGATAAAAAAGTGATCAGTGAGCGTTATTTCTAAGAAAACACCAGCTTGATTAATTACATTACTAACCTTAGTCCTTCACCACAAGCCACAAGGACCTTAGCATTATCCTTATCAGGAATTTTCTGTTCAACTTGCTTAACAAATTCATCATTGATCATAGTGAAATTCTGTCCAGTCCACAGCCCAATATAACCAAAATGCACCCACTTTTTCAACAGAGTAATGGGGCTATTATCCATATCCTTCAAAAAGAGGGGCACATGTAATGAACCCGAAACACACGCCTTCTCTCTCTCCCATTCTGGCCTAATGTCGAGCAAAATATATCCTTCCCCTTCCATCGCTGTACCTGCGAGAGGCGAAGCCACGATCTCAAACATTCTGTTTTCTACAAATATTTATTTGATAATTTTTTAAATATAAATATACAGTTCGAGGAAAAGTAACTGAATTGGACGTTGTGTAGTAGTGTACCTGCTTCTTTGGGTAATATTGGGCGGACTTTACCGGACTGTATTAGCTGCTGTGCATTGGGGGAAACTGCACTGATTTTGAGAATTGTTGAGCGTTGATGAGGGATACTGGAAAATGATGGGAATTGGAGGTGTTTGTTGTACTTTAAAATGGAGGATTGTAGTTGAATTAATGCCATTTTTCTTATTTCTTGCTTGTTTGCTTTTGCAGTCCTGAATCTACGCCTTATCTGGAAGAATTTGTTTAGTTTGGACTTTACCTTATCATGTTTGATTTTTTTCTTTTATATATTCTATTCCCTCTAAATAAAAAACAGAGAGATCTATAAGACAATAATGACTATGAAGGGGAGGAATGTGACGTTTAACTTGGTCTCAACAACATATTTATGTTGTCTAATTTTTGAATGTGCAAAAGTAAGCCTTTAAACTTATATAGAGCTGAACAAGTTGAAACATGCATTCTGTTAGCGTTATTTGCGAAAGTATTCTAGGTGGCGTCCTAACGTAGGGCACATATGTTTACTTGTTTAATTTTATACAAATTTAAATGTCTATTTGAACACATTCAAAGTTAAATGACATATTTATATATTATACCGTTAATAATCTCACCTTCGCGTATAAAAGAACGTAATAGAAAACGATAAACAAATTCAATAATAAAAGTGCAAGTATATTTGGTTTGATGATAATAAAAAATAAAATAAAAAAATTTAACTAATTCACTAAAATTAACCAAAAATAATATATTTCAATTCTAATATTACTTCAATTGAGAAGACTCAGTCGTTGCACATATTTTTTTATATTCTACTATATATATATTTTTTATATTATAAAAGAGAGTTTAGGCCCAAATATAATATATAATATTCTTGTGGGACTTTTAAAAGGAAGTTTCTTCAATACTATTTATTATATAGTAGAACTTGGGCATAAACTCCCTTTTAAAAGTCTCAATCTTGAATATTATATATTATACTTGGGCATAAACTTCCTTTTAAAAGTCCCAATCTTGAACATAAACTCCCTTTTAAAAGTTTCAATCTTGAATATTATATATTATACTGGGGCATAAACTCCCTTCTAAAATAATATATATATATATATGTCACAAATGGAAAAGTCTCAATCAAGGAAGCAACATATATCATTTACAAATTACTTAAAAAACATTAAAATTACAATAATTACCAATTTAAAATATTTAAAAGCTATATAATAAAATAGGTTGACTCTCAGAATTCTATCAGGCTCACATATATTGGGACAGAAAAAATAACACATATCATTTTAAATTTACCGAAAAAGTATTATAAATAATAATAATTAACAACTTAAAATATCTGAAAGACATTTTAAAAGGGTTAATTTTGTAATTTTATCTATATTACATAAATTAGGACAAAGTGACCAGTAATGTATGTTATTTGAAAGTTACATAAAAATATTATAAATCACAATAATTAATAACTTAAAATATATATTTTTTTTTAAATCTATCGTAAAAATACTATAAATCATGATAATTGACAACATAAAATATGTTTTGAAAAAAATACAAAAAATTCCACTGATTCTTGAAGTGAATCTATCGTAAAAATACTATAAATCATGATAATTGACAACATAAAATATGTTTTGAAAAAAATACAAAAAATTCCACTGATTCTTGAAGTGAATCTATCGTAAAAATACTATAAATCATGATAATTGACAACATAAAATATGTTTTGAAAAAAATACAAAAAATTCCACTGATTCTTGAAGTGAATCTATCGTAAAAATACTATAAATCATGATAATTGACAACATAAAATATGTTTTGAAAAAAATACAAAAAATTCCACTGATTCTTGAAGTGAATCTATCGTAAAAATACTATAAATCATGATAATTGACAACATAAAATATTTCAAAAATGTTGTATGTGGGTAGTCTTATTATGCCTTAAATAGCGTAAAAAAAAGTACAGGTTTGTGATAAAAAAAACTTATTCCTTTATCCACGCAAACAATCGCTTCAAAAACTCGGTTATTATCCCAAAAACATACCATTTATATTATTGGGCCCGTGCATAGCACAGGCAACATTATCTAGTATCTATATAAAGGAGAATCTTAGACATGCTTATGTGACATGCTTCTAAGAGCTAGAAAACTATTTATTTATTTATTTTGTGTTTTTTAGCCATTTTTTAAATTTTAAAATACAAAAAATTCACCTAAATATTAAAGATAGTCACATTTAATTCTTTCTTTATCAAGAGTCATATTTAATTTATTTTATCATTAATGCTATTATTTTTATTCTTTAATATTTCTCATTTTCTTCTTTTACTATTTTAATTTCTTCCCTAATGATATTTATATCATTTCATTAAATCACTTTTTCCCCTTTTTGGTTCTTTTTATATTTTATTTCTATATAATATAAAGTTTTTTTTTGAAAAAAAAATTACGATTTTGTAACCCAAATATCATCATTTATGACATTTATAACATTTCCCTAAGTCACTTCTCGTCCTTTATTTATTCTTTTTTTTTTTATTTATTCAATTCAAGAAATTTATATCTCTATTTAGTATAAAGGTCTTTCTTTTATCTTTTTTATTTATGTTTTTCCTTCTTTATTTACTTTTAAAGTTTCACCTCCATAACTTATATCTATTAAACTTCTATTCTTAATAATATAATTAATTTCATGACTTTTAATTTTTCATATTCATAACCCCCAACTATTAAATTATAAAATTTAAGATACTTTATGATATTTCTCCATTTTTGTCAATATAAATTCACAAGTTTTTTGTTTCATGAAATTTCAACTCAAGATTATTTTTTATATTTCATTGTTTTTTTGTAGTATTATTCTATTATCAAATCCATGTGTTAACTTGACACGATGAAGAAGACTCTTGAATGTTGATTAATTTGACAAAAAAGGTGTCGGTCAAGAGCTCAAAAAAGTGGGCACTTATTTTGTATTCTTATTTTTATCTATTTTCTTATGATAAGATTCTAAGGAAGATGTATGTGTGTGTATGTTTGTGTTTTTTTCCATGTAACTTCTTTAGTTTGAATTTGTATAATTTTTCATTATTGCAAGAAGTTTGTATTTTTGTTTAGATGTAAATTAGTTATTGTAACGTTTTGTGTAATAATACTAACTACTAACCAATGTTCAACAATATTATAGTACAAAAAATTATTTATGTTTTCTTAAAGATTCCTCTATTTTTTCCATATAAAATCATAATTTTTTATTTCATGAAACTCCTACTCAAGATTATCCTTTTTATTTCATATTTGAAGTCATGTTTAGTCAGAGGGAATATTGACAAGAGCTCAAAAATTGTGCATTGATTCATTAATATATTTTTTTAAAATTATTTTCTTATGATTAAGGTCCTAATAAAGGTATGTGCATTGTGTTCTTTCATCATTATTGT